GGCTACAGTAATTGCAGCAGCGCCGTAGCCAAAGTTCGGCGGAATCGATCCTTGTAATCGCGGGTCTTGTACCCATTCTTGGTAGACTTCCCCCGCTTGAACAGCTCCACAAATTGCGCCTCGTCCTGCTTGGACACCTTGACGCTCTCACTATCGAAGAGGAGGTGCCCTGGGATGCCGGCACATCTCCCCAATGCCTGCGCCCAATCTTGGACCGTCCATCGATCAACATGCGGCCGCAATCCGCGCGTAGGTGGTCCCTGTGGCTCTAGCCACTCGCGCACCATATCCACACAGGTGTAGTTCCATCCCCATAGCAAGAAATTGAGCTTTCTTGCAATCAGGCGCTCCTCGAAAGCGCGCAGCCCGTTCTGTGGTAGTCGGAGCGGCAGCATCCGCAATCGGCCCAGTCTCGCCATTGCGTTCTTGGAGTTCGCCTGCTCGCTAATTCTCCTCCCGCTCCGCTCGAGCTCCTTTCTGCCTCGGCAAACTCTAATCTCCCTCAATTCCAAATCACGCGCACTCACTTCTCCTTCAATCACCAAGAAATCCTCTGCGCGGCGATGTCGAGAATGCTTAGCAGCTAGCAGATGGACGCGCGCAGCTCGCACTAGAGAATGGAATCGCGAATTCAAGAATGGGACGCTCTCCGCCTCCCGGTCGAAGGTCATGGTCGGCTCTTGCTCGTGAAGGACGACTCAATTGATGGCCGCGCCGGCTCTACGCTAAAACGGTCTCCGCTCTCACGCGCGGCTTCACGCTCCGCCGACGCCGATTTAACTCTCACGCTCGAATTGGCGAATTTGAATTCCGCGAGCGTACTACGCCAAGGACACGGGTGCGCAGCGCCGAAGGCGGATTTTCCGCCTTGCGCGGTACACTCGTTCGTACCGCTCCTCAGCCAATCCTCCTCTGCCTCGGCGCTTGTCCGCACGTCGGACAAAAGTTCAACTCCCGCCTATGCGCATGCGGACTCCTCGGCGGATTCTCCGCCGGCGCGGAACTTCACCCTCCTGTGCACATGCGACCTGTGCGCAGGCGAAGTCCGTCCGCGTCGATGCGCTGGCGCGGAAGGCGTTGACCGTGGTCAACCGACTCCGTCCAGACTGTCCGTTCCTTGTCTCTCCGTCGGCGCTCTCGCCGCCGCAACTCCGTCCGTCCAAGAGCGCATCCATCCGTCCCGTCCGTACGGTCCGTACGGATTTTACTATTCTGGCGGCTCCTTGCTCGTCCACGGCGTTACGCTGGCGCAGAAGGCGCCGTACAATTTCTACCTCCCAAGGCGCATTTCTAGGGCCCAAGGCAGATTTCCCGCCGACGCCGAAGCGCCTGTGCACAGGCGACCTGTGCGTAGGCGAACTTCGCGCCTACATCAAAACCCTATTTCGCATGTGCGCAGGCGAACTTCCTTCGTCCGCGCATAAGACAAAACTTCTCCGCCTGTGCATAGGCGAAGAGCTGAGTATCTTACAACCTTCATAACTCCCGGAGTCCTCATCCGTTGTTGGCGTTCTTGGGCTCGTTGGAATCAGCGCGTCGAGCTCTTTCCAACGAGACCCTAACTAAGTCAAGAAGTTTGGAGGTTGACCTAAATATGAAGGATTTCCCAACCGCCGCGGACGAAGCGCCGAAGTCGGATTTTGCGCCTTGCGCCGTAGGGATCCTAACTGCAGAGCTCGCAGGGAGGGTGGTGCCCTTCCTTACCGCTGCACCCAACCCCTAGATTCTACGAGGTCCCTCGAGAATCTCTGCGATCTTCCGAATTCACTCTATTTTGATGCACCGAAGGCTATTTACATTGCTGCCGTGGTACAGTTTTCCAAAAATGTTTTAATTTCCTCAAAATTACCAAAAGTGGGGTACCACATGACACTTCACCAACACGCTTCAAAACAAAAAATGGATCAATGAATCTAGGGTTCAACTTTGGTGTTCCTACAAGAGAAAAATTTGTTGTAGATAACCAAACGTGATCTTCAACCTCAAAAATCACTTCTCTACGATGAGCATCGGCATGCTGTTTATGCCGATTTTGAGCTATCACCAACTTCTCCTTGGCTTGATGTAGTCCTCGGTGAATATGCTCCACAAACTCGTTGAGTGCTGCAACTTTGGTCGAAAACTCCTCTCCTTTGGAAAGTCTCTTGAAGAAGTTATAGGATGAGCTCCATACATAAGAAAAAATGGAGACACTTTTGTGGATGCATTAACAGAATTGTTATATGCAAATTCCACAAGTGGCAAAAGGTTGTCCCACTCTTCTTGCTCTTCTAATGTGAATGCTCGTAGCATATCCTCTATGGTTCTATTTGCCCTCTCCGTTTGTCCATTAGTTTGGAGGTGATAGGCCGTTGACATTGCTAGTTTTGTTTTGAAAAAACTAAACAAAGTTTTCCAAAATAAACTAGTGAAGTGAGTACCTCTATCCGTGATTAACACTTTGCTTAAGCCATGATTCACAAAAACTGCATCTAGATACAATTGAGCTAGTTGTGGAGCTGTTACTGTTTTTGTGGTTGGCTTGATGTGAATCATCTTGCTCAATTTGTCCACAAAAACCACCATTGAATCATGTCCTAACAAAGTCTTTGGTAACTCACATACAAGATCCATGGTGACATGTTCCCACCGCTGTGCGGGAATAGGAAGAGGCTGTAATAAACCCGCTGGTTTTTTATTACTTGCCTTGTTTTGTTGACAAGCAACACAACTTTGAACATAAGACTCCACATCCTCACGTATTTTGGGCCAATAGTACACTCGTTGTATACTCTTCACGGTTTTCTCCACTCCAACGTGACCTGCAATGGCTGTGTCATGACTTTCTGCCAAAATCATTGTGCGCAAATCGTGATCTTGTAGAAACCATATACGCTGATTGTAAAACGCCAAACCTTGAGATTGTGGAAAGTGAATTCCACTAGTAACCGGACAAAGAAGTATTTCTGGCCAAAAATTTTAAAAAAATGAAGTTTTTTTTTAATAGCTACAGTAACTTTGTAGGTTAGAAAGTAATAACTACGGCTGGAGTGGAGTAGAGAGGCGGAGGAAAGTCTGGAATAGTTCCAGGGTTTGGAAGTCGAGAACGATAGAGAGGGTCGGAGAAAGCCTGGGATTTTGAGGATCTTGAAGATTTTTGCAGATCGCGTCGCTTTCGATTTTTGTAGCATCAATCGTCGTCGTCGTCGAGAGGCAAGGCGTTTGTGGAGATTCCGGCCATGGGAGACAAAGCAGGTGCCGCCGAGGGCTCAAGTATCTTCGAGAGCCTGTTCGGTGGGTTTTCCAACGGCCTGTCCATTTTCACGAACAATCCTTTCAGACAAAAACAGGAGGCTGCCGCGGCGAAGGTTGAGGCTGCGGCGGAGGCCGAGGCCGAGTTGAAAAAGTTGGGGAAGGATGGAGCGGAGCAGGACAGATTAGAGGATGCAAGTGGGGGGAGACGGGCGACCCCCACCCAGTCGGAGATCAAATCGAAGAGTCCGAGCAAGCAGAAGCATTTAAGTGATTCTCGGTCCAAGGGCCAGGGACATGGGGAGATCAACTTAGACGGTGGCAAATTGCACACGCTCAAGAGTGACGATGACATTAGTGGCAAGAAGAAGAAGAAGAAGAGAAGGACGGAGGGTTTAGATGAGAATGTTGAGCAAGAATTGTTCGTCGGCAACAACGGGAGTGGATCTAGTGACAGGCGGAGGCAAAAGTAGGACATTCCGGCGGGCAATGTGGAGGAATCCGACAAGATGGAAGCTGCCAAGACGGAGGATGCTGAGTACACGCTGTTGAAGAAGAGGAAGAAAAGGAAAGGAGAGCAAGGGGTAGGTTCATGCCGCCTTGTTCGAGGACTATCTGAGGCCGTTAGGTCGGTTTGCTTGAAGCTTTGTTTCTCCTCCATGAGTATTGCCTCGGTCTTCATCGACGACGGTGACTTTCTTGTTTGATTTTGTCAGATATCTCGATAGAGGTTGATGCCCGAAGGAATGCAGCTGTCGTTGAGTTGCATAACCATGTGAAAGAGATTACTATAGAGGCGGGAAGAGCTGATCTACGGCAACCTGGTTATGGGAATACTGCCATGTGCATGTGAAATTGTGTACGGGTGTCTTAGAGGCGGCGAGGCAAGTGTTCAACCTCAACAAGATCGGGAACCGCATTTGTCATCGGAGGGCTCTCTCGTGGTGGTAGATATTTAGGTGAAGCCTATTTTTTCTTGCTGTTTTTCTGATCGTGGAGAGTTGATTGGATACCAAGGGTTTCATGCTCTAAGCGCACGGCCATGGAATATGGTGCGAGCAGTAGTCGAGGTCTTGGGGATATCTTGGAGAGTGTCAAGCGTCTGTGTTTGTTCAAGTCCTCCGTGGCTGTGAGTCGGAAGAGCAGGTTGAAGACAACAACTATTTGGATCCAAACCTGTGGAAGAACCTTCCTGATGATCTTCATGCATGGGTGCTCCAAAAACTGCCGTTGGAAAGCCTTGTAAAGTTTCGCATGGTTTGTAAGAAGTGGAATGCTTTCATTCTATCGGTCAATTTTATTCCTCCACCAAATTTGGCTAGGAAGTGTGTGCCCACTTACTTCGATGATGAGGTGCCCTCCACGTTTTACAACCGAAGGAGAAACTCGTGGCAGCAGTTGTCTTTCTCCTTCTTGGAAACTCCTAGCACCTTTTTGTCCCTTCTTGCATCAGCTGGAGGATTGCTCTGCTTTAAGACTAGCATAGCCGGCGAGTTAATAGTTTGCAACCCGATCACCAAGTAGTCCCGACGACTACAGGTGTCCTGCAGAATTCGCCATGACGCTATCACTCAAATTGCCAGAGAGAGTGAAGTGGTTATTTATGAAAGTGCTCATTCCACCCGGAACCTAAAAGTGTATCATCTATCTATCGGTTCTTTTGACAAGGAAGTCGTCGTGGGAATGGTTGTGGAGCATGGAAATAGCTATGGAAGTGGCTACAAGCTGGTTGTTGCCGGAGTGACGCTTTGTGACAACTCTTCCGAGAGAACAACGCTGATCTATGACTCAGTCACTAACTCCTGGAAGAAAGGGGGTGAAGTTCCCAGAGGAGTGAGGTTTTGGAGATATGGGAAACTAGTCTCCAGCAAAGGATACCTGTACTGCATTACATACAATGAGCAGGTTTGGAGAGAGAGAATGGACCAGGAGCGGCTGTGGAGTGGGCTTAGATATGATTTGGAACATGAGAAGTGGAGGTAGAGGAGGAAATACTGGTTGGCTCGGTCCTTTTCTGAATGGTGCTGTAGAAACTGGGGATGTTAAAAAGGTTGTAGACGCCCCGGACTTGCTTTCATAACTCTTTGTAACCTCAGTCTTTTCTTGTGGGGCTACGTTGCTCCAACTTTTGTTCGTTGGAGGAGTTGATTTTGAGATTCTTATAACTGGATCCGAGCCTGGAAAAGAGAGCAGCGAAGGTTCCTGTTGACTTGTTATAGAACTAGATGTTGTACTCATTTCGGTTGAAGATTCGTCAGATGATCTTTGCTCAATTATGCTTGTAGAGAATTAGCACTTCCCGGACTTGATTCTGAATGTGATGGTATCTTGCTGGGAGGAGTCCGTAGACTAACTCTGGGGACGACGTCCAAGCCTCGAATGTTGGTAGGTGTTCCGTGGCCGGAGACATAGAAGGAAGTTCTAGTTGGGTCGAATTGGATCGGAGTTTTGCTTCTCTTCTTGTTGGACGTTTAACGATGGAACCCGTCCTACTCTGGCCGGAGTAACTCTTTGGTGTGTTCAGCTTATCGTTTGTAACCTCAGAACTAGGTTTAGTCCTGATGGAAGTAGGAGCTGATGAGACGGTTGGTTTAGAGAAAGAAATTGGTAGGGTAGGCAAGTTCTGTGCTCAAGTGATGCCGGGACTTATGAAGGATGAACCCTGCCTTGCCTTGCTTGTGGATCTCTCTTGGACCTTGATCTTGCCTTGAACAGGGAGAGGGATAATGGTTTTCTTCGTGGAAAGTGTTGATAGCGAGCCTGTTTTTCCAATTTTCAAAGATGAACTAGAAACAGGCAAAGTTGGAGGAGATGAAGACTTGAGTTCTGGTTGGCTTGATCTAGTTCTTGATTGTTTTTGGCTAGTGGAGGGGTTCGAGGAGAAAACTGAACAGGACCTGTCTGTATATGTCTGTGGAAGAACGCTGTCACCAGTGGACGAAGGCAGCCGAGATTGGCTTCCCGATCTCTCTAGAACTCTCGCTTTAACTTTGATAGATTCGGGAGTGGTCGTTTTCTTACTAGAAGGCATGGATAACAAACCTCTTGGGTCGAGGTCCGATGTTGAAGAAGGGAGGGGCAAAACTTGCAGAGAAAGTTCTCGTTGGCTTGATTCAACTTTTGGTGGTCCTTCAACAGACTCGGGCAACTCGGGGGATGAAACCGTCCCAGATTTGGTCGCCGATTTCCCTGGAGGTTTAGTCTGACCTTTTGAAGACATGTGACTTGGTGCCATTGAAGGAGGGATTGTTATCGCCGCTCTGGGGTGCATGTCCAAGGATGAAGATGGAACTGGTGTACTTGGGCTGGAGGATGAAGGAACTTTTGATTGGCTTGATCTAGTCTTGGATGGTGCATCAACAACATGGGCTGACTTAGAGGATGACATGTTCACACTTTTGGTCGTAGGTTTGTTTCGAGGCTTGGCGGTACCTCTGACCGATTCAGCACTGGAGGAACCCTTTGCAGGAGATGTAGATACAGAGGCTCTTGTGTTGACATCTGAGGTTGGAGAAAGGGGTAGGGGAGTTGTAGTTGTAGAAGGAGGCTTCGGTGGAGTTGATTTATTGCTTGTTGGTGCGTCAACACTCAAGGATGAATTTAGCTCAGATTTGGTTGAGAATCTCTCTGGTTGTGTGGCCTTACTTTTGATAGATTGGAGATTGGGAGTTTTCTTGGCGGTACGGGTCAATAACGAGGCATCGCACATGACTCATTTTGATCTAAAAGGGTGTGGAATTCTGACTCGAACCGCCATTTGTTGTCTTTCTCTTTTGTTGCTCGATGCGTCGTACTGCTGCTAGTTAGATGATGACTGCCTCACAGCCAATGCTTTTCCCTAAGTTACGGATCTGCTCTGCCGACTTACCTTACCTACATTGTTTTATCGACTAGAGGCAGTGCACCTTGGAGACCGGATGAGGTTATGATTACCGACCGTAGAAGTAGGAGCATCTTGGGTTCACAAGGGATCAAATGAGCAGGCTCCTACAGAGTCTCCATGATGTCCGGCAGAGCCCACGGTTCGAGTAATTCTAGGATCAGGTTAGCTCCCAGATAGTATGGCAGCGATTAACGATGGGGCTTATGGGCACCCAGCTGCTAATCCGGAAAGTTAGCGGCGGCCACTAGAAATAAGAGGCAGCCACCGGTCCGGAATTGACGGGCTTTTAGTTGGTCACTGGTAGAAGATAAGATTTAAGCCAGGGGTTTTCTCAAGGTAGAAGCCTCTTTTTGTACTCTGTTTTGAGTTTTTCAATTGAGAACATACCTGTAGCTTTAATCTGTGGAACGGTTGTCGAAATAGGCCTAGGGACTATTGTCTTGAATAGATATTCGGGAAGAGTGTTGAACAGTTGGAGAATCTGGAGAGCGCCTGGAGTGAGTGGAAAAGTGTCAGGCGTAGAGTGTTGACGGTTTCCACTGTCCGGAAGGAGCCTAGAGGGGAGGGAAGACTTAGTGCAGCATAGGCTGGTAGTCTTCAAGATACGGGCGTTGTGTATAGACCGGACTCCTTCATAGGGTCGGTCACTTTCTGATGATAGGATTAAAGCCAGGTTACTTACTCCGAACCAGTCCGGAAGTGAGAGATTAGGTGTTATTGTTATTGTGTTAAAGGGGGAAAATTGTAGATCTTCTTGGGAACGAACGCGGAGTGGTTTACTTTGGGAAATGTTTAGTGTAAACTAAGTGATTTTTGAAGGAATACTGATACCACGTCGTGCTACAGAGATTTCTCTGCCTTTCTAGTGTGTAGTGCCCGAGTGATCTCTTCATGCTCCTTTGTGGCTTGTGTCATCTTGCTCCACCAATCAGCCTGAATTTTCACTTCTGCAACATGATTCAAACAAGGCATGCGTGTGAGAGCATCTGCAAGTTGCTTCTTTCCCTCCACATACACAATCTTCATGTTGAAGCGTTGACGCCACTCTACCCATCGAATTTGTCGTTTGGACAGATCCTTCTGAGTCTCCAAATAAACCAAGGGTTTATGATCGATCTCCACCACAAACTTCTTATCACCCAAGTAATGCTTCCAATGTTTGGTTGCCAACACAATGGCTAACTCCTCTCGTTCTGTCGTGTGATAATTTTGTTCCGCTGCCACCAACTTTTGAGAATAGAAAGCAATTGGATGCCATCCATCCTCCCATTCTTGTTAAAGTATGCCACCTACTGTTGTACCTGATGCGTAAGTAGCCAACTTGATAGAACGGTTAGGATCATACCACTTGAGAATAGATGCGTGTAACAAAGCATCTTTCAATGCTTGAAAAGCTAACTCTTGAGTTGTTTCCCATCTCCATTTTTGACCTTTTCCCAACATGGAAGTCAAGGCTTGAGCTAGGCGAGCAAAACCTTTCACAAATCTACGATAGAATCCATTGAGCCCTAGAAAACTCTTCAATTGAGTTTGATCCTCAAGTGCTATCCATTTCTGAATGGCATCCATCTTCTCACTCATCACTTGGATTCCTGTAGCTGTAACTCTATGACCCAAGTAATCTACTTCTGACTTGTCAAATTCACATTTTGAAGCTTTGGCATACAATTGATTGTCTCTTAAAACTTAAAGTGTCTCTCGTAAATGACTTCTATGATCACTCAAAGTTTTGCTATACACTAATATATCATATAGAAAAACAATGACAGATTTATCTAGATAAGGACGAAAGATATCGTTCATCAATCCCATGAATGTAGCTGGTGCATTAGTGAGACCAAAAGGCATCACTAGATACTCAAAGTGTCCATACCTAGTACGAAAAGTTGTCTTGTAGACATCTTCATCTGCAATTCGAATTTGATTGTAGCCGCTTCTCAAATCTAGCTTGGTGAAGTACTTCGCTCCTTGAAGTTGATCAAACAAATCATCCATACGAGGTAATGGATATTTGTTTTTCACCGTTTGCTGATTCAACCGGCGATAATCGATGCATAGTCTCATGGATCCACCTTCTTCTTCACAAAGAGCACTGGAGCTCCATAAGGTGAAACACTTGGTTGAATGAATCCCTTGCTCAACATCTCCTCCACTTGAGCTTTGCATTCTTCCAATTCGTTTGGAGCTAAACGATATGGAGCTTTGCAAGTTGGTGTACTTCCAGGTATAACCTCAATCTTATGATCTATTCGCCTCTTTGGTGGTAATCCTACAGGTAGATCATCTGGAAAAACATCTTTATACTCCATAAAAATGTCGTTCAAGGACTCTGGGATGTAAGGTTTGTCCGTGGACCCAATATCTCCTATAAATCAAAGGAAACATACATCATCTCTAGAAATAGATGTTGTATCCATCACAAAGAGGGGTAAATTCCTATTCTGAGATCTAATTCTATCTCCATAGATCTTCCATCCATTACTTGTATTCACTTTTCTTCTCCAATCTACCTTTAGATTATATTGCTCCATCCATGGCATTCCAAGGATGACATCATATCGAGCTAAACAAATTAATTTCCATTCAATGCTCTCTTGGTATCTACCTATGGATAATTCTACACTCCGTGGTAGTGTTTCTATCACTTCAGTTTGTCCGTTTGCAATTCAACTTCTTCAATCACGTCCTTCATCAACATCAAACCTAACTTCATAGCAACACTCCTTGATAGAAAATTCTCAGTTGCTCTAGGATCAATTAAAACTCTCACCTTGTGTACTTCCATGAAACCATCAGTGACAATGAGTTGAGCTTGCTTCTTACTCCTTCCATAAGCTGCCAACCATTGCCTTCTTCCAACCTCGCCTTTTCTTCGTTTTGTAGAACCAGTAAGGCCGCGAGGTAAATTTACTGGTGATCTTCGTTTCCCAAAACTTCTTCCTCCACCTCTTCATACTCTATCCCTCTCCATGTTGTTGAACGGTTGTCGCTGCATGGGCCGTCCTCCTTGTGGTGTCAGCCGAATTCAAAAAAACTTGGCAATGTGACCCATTCGTCCACATGCATAGCATTAACGATTGTCACGAACTCCAGCTCCTCCTCGAACCATTCCGTTATTTGCATAACCTTCTTGCAAATTTAGATTTCCTAGTCGCCGAATCTCATCTCCAAATCTTGGTGGTGGTATTCCTGTTGGTGCAAAACCTTCTCTACGTCGAAGGTTTCCCAACTCCATCGGTGTTGGACCAGATGGATCTCAAAAATTGCTTACTGGTTCACCGTGTGTGACACCAAAAGCACCCAAAATTCGTTGAGCAATTGCGATTGCTTCATTCACAGTAGATGGATTGCTTACCATCACCTTCTTTCGAATTCGATACTTCAAGCCTTGTTTGAACACGTCCAAGGCTTCAGCTCCACTCATATCCATGATAGATACTTGAAGATCACAAAATTCTTCAATGTACTCATGAATACCTCCTTTTTGCTTCAGTACCCACAACTTCATTCTTGCAGTTTGAAGAGAATCCACCGCTTGAAAATTTTGCAGAAGTACTTCCTGCATTCCACTCCACAAAATGGTAGCACCTCTTTTTGAAAGCATTCTCTCACATGTTGTGTACCATGTGAGAGCCTTATCCATAAGATAAGATCTCATGAACATTCCTGCAATATAATCAGAAACATGAAAATAGGATAAATGAATATTCATCCTCATAATCCATACCTTTAACACTCCCATTGCTCTACTCCCTTTGTAAGCTTTCACCTTACAGGATTTTCCCTTTCAAAGCAAAAGATTTGCTTGATCTTCAATCTCTTGAAGACGTCTCCTATTTGCCTCTGCTGCATCAATAGTAGTTGGTTCCGGCTGAACTTGGGAAGCTTGAACTTGAGGTTCAACTTCCATCTCTCCAACTCTCTCTCTCTCTACTTTCTCACTCTCCAATGCGAAGATTTTATCTTCCATGGCTTGCTGCTTGATATGACCATCTACTATCGCTTTTCTCAACTCTTTCATCTCCGCCATGATTGCATTGAGAATCTCATCCATATCGATTGATGTTCCCATGCTTTCTCACACTCTGTAACCATCTTTAGTTAGTTAGAACTAAAGTAGAGGTTACTCTGAATATTGATGTAGATACTTTAGTGTGCACTAGTCATAGCTGCCACATCAGCGATCCGCGCACTTGGTAGGTATAGAGTGGATGTGTTAGTTGACAGTGCCACGTCAGCAATCCGTGTGCTTGTAGCTAAGGATTGAGTGTGTTAGTTAGTGTGTTAGTTGGGTGCGCCACGTTAGCGATCCGTGTGCTTGTTAGGGTTATCCGCCACGTCATCCATCCACTAGGAGTGGTATGGATGGTGGGGATTAGATCTTATCACCTTGTACTTGTTGGTGAGAGCTATATAAGGGAGAGGAGAACCATTGTTGGTATCTCTCATCTTCAGAGTTTACGTTTCTATCTTCGAGTGAACTTCTCTCTAAACCCTAGTGTTACAATGGTATCAGAGCGACCTTGCTCTTTCCTTGAGTGTGGATTACCCCTCATGGAATAGCAAGTGAGTGATGATGGAGTGTAGTCTTGAGAGTGTATAGAGGCTGGCAGAGGTCATTCATCTGCATGTAGAGAGAGGTGGAAGGGGGACATTGTGTTTTTGCAGATATGGACGGGATTGACAGGAATCCAGTACCGCAGTGGCCAATTCCTAACCTATTCGATATTCACCTTCGTTGCATGGAGAAACATCATTTTCGGATGTACCTTGTGGCTTGTTGGGGTGCAGATTTTATGACTAGAGTGATGGAGTCAAGAGTGCCACTGATTCTTCCAATAATTACTTATGGAGAGACTTGGTATTGTACTATTTACATTCTATACTTAATGTTTCATGGATTTGAATCGCGAACCACCTGTCCCGGTTCG